CATTCTTCTACTAATTTTCAATTATACATTTTTCAATAAAATAATATTTTACATCACATCAATAATTTTTCCTTTTTTTTCAACCACATATTCACCATCACATCACAAAAAAAAAATTCATTATTTCCAATTTAATGTGCATCAAACACACAAATCTAAGAGTTGGATCATTAACTCATTGCAACGCTTACTTGACTACGCGGGTTTCTAAATAGTCTCGATTAGTCTTATATATATAGCCCTTGTTTGGTTTTACTGAAAAATGAGTTTATGAAAATTGGAGCTTGATAGAGACGTGTTAACAAATACTTTGAATAGAAATTATTCATCTTTAACTTTTCTTCAATCATTCTAGATGAAGACCTTCGCAAAAGTAGGTCGGCTAGCTTTCAATGAGTATATATTTCACTCATTTACGATTCACTCAGATATGTCTATTCAACACCTCAAATGGCTTATACTACACCTCTCTTTTGTTCGCCCCTAGACCTGATCAAAAAAGGGAACTCTTATCTTTCCAACCAAGAGTTCTCATTGGAATTGTTTTTTAACGAATTTCAATTTAACTTTAACTTTTCTCACTACTTCGATCTTTTTAGTCGTCAGTTTTAATGGTTTACACGTGGTTGCGATTGCACAGGATAATTGGAGCAGTGTTGATCATAGTAGGGTTATACCTTGTTCTGTGGGGCAAAAACGAAGAACGTAAATTCTCAATGCCGAATGCTGCGATTCTGTCAGAAGCGGACCACAGGAGCAACCGAACAATAACCAATCAAATCAAGTCCTCGCTCGCTCAGCCATTGATATCTCAGTCAACGGAAAATGCTTGACCCGCAAAATGTCCAAATATTAACTTACAGTCTTTGTTGGAAAAGAAAACGCTGATCAGTTCAATTATGTTTATGTAGAATGGCTTGAAGTGTGTATGAAAGTTTTCTTAAGGGGGGTGGGGTGGGGTGGGGGTCTAAGCATGCAAATCCCATATGGTTATTTATATGCTATATGTTAGCAATATTAATGGGTTGCTTAATTTATTAGAAATTTGATGTCTGAACGAATTTAGACTGAACCATCCGTCTCTATAAATCAAAGTCCCTTCCAAGCTAGTAAGCAAGTCAACAACAACTAACTATTCTTAATAAATCAACTATGCCACTGTTGGGTCCAAAATTTGAGATATAAGGGCTAATAATTGCATAAAATGTCATCTGGATTACCATGCTAGCCCATCAATTCAGCAACATATTCAGAGATCTGCAACCTCATTGTTACATCAAACCAATTTTTTAACAGGGAAAAAAAATGGAAAAGAAGTCCATACAAAACACAAGCTGCCCATACTGCCCAAATCTGGGGAACCTCAAGATGCTTGATTAATTAACAGTTCGATTGCTAGAATCTGTACATGATGGCTCATTTCAGGCATGAGATAGCCACGACACAGATCAGGATTTTTGACTTGAATCACACCGGTCGAGTTCGTCCAAAATCAAGTATCAGACTATTACAATTTGACATCAGCCACCTGATGATTATTGGCGATCACCAGACTTCGTCATGGTCCTGCAGATGTTCCCAGTAAGCCGGTAATATCTTGACAATGGCGCAAAGCTGCCCTTATGGCCTCTAACATTTCATTGATGTTTATACGTCTCCTGCAGTTCGAGGCATAAAAGAACTTTTACCACTGACACATTAGAATACGCATATAACATTGAAAATTTATGGGGTAAAAACAACCGCTATCTGTTAACCACTTGGTAGATAGGGACATTTATTTATTTAAATGTGGCCCTTCACGTGCAAGCTTAACTTATATGACCGAAGCCTGACACGACAATTCATAAATGAGAGATAGCGAGACTTGAACTCATCTACGAAGCTCTGATAAGGCTTTAACCAACTCATCTATAGTTTAAGCTGGCTGCTAGGGTAGGGACACATATTTATTAAAATGGTGTCTTCAACATTATCATAATCCTAGAAGCAGAATAAACTAAGTGATTTGATAAATAAAGTGCACCAAATTTTACATAAACTAGAAAACAAAGAAGTAGAGAGTGCTCCTCATGACTAGCAGAAAAACATTTGTTTAGCACAAATTATCTACCCACACGTCGCTCCTATGTATTGGGAAAACATTATTCATTGATTTTACTTCCATAATAGCCATAAACCGAAGGCTTATTCCACATGATATCAAATGATGTGGCTGAAAATTAAGTGCAGAAAGAGTTGAATAGAAAACAAAACTGTTCTAATACACACACCAATGTTCACCACCATGCATAAAAATGCAGTTTTCTGAGAGGTTTCTTCTCTGTTAAACTGCCTTATCAGATACCCCACTAAATCAGATACCCCACTAATTTTTCAATATGCGTAGGCTTAAAAGAAAAGACCAGTAGAAATAGCTATAAAAGTACATTCATTCGGAATAAGAAATGGAGCTTTAAGAATCATCAATGTTGGTTGAACAGTACGCGTTAAAAGTAGTTCATGATACTGAAGTTGGGAAAGCCTGGCATATGGAATCTATTAAGATTCAGGATTCAAGGAAAGGTATACAATCTAAATGCATCGGGAATGGAAAGAAAACACTAACAAACTTACAGAACACTGACGCCCACAACAGCAAGAGGTCGTGGATAAGCTTCAATTTCCTTCACCTTCTGATCAACAGCTTGGTCCTCATCATTTGACATGGAAAAAGCAGCAGTTTTGGAGATTGCTTCAGTCTGCAAATCTATCTTGTCACTTCCAATTCTCCATATTTCTTCCTTTAAAGATGGAAGCCTGTCCATTGCCTGCAAAGGCAACTACTACGATTAGAATTGCAGATTAACTAACACAGGAGAACGTGTGAGGTCAAAACTTCACTTATTATCTATGAAGAGACATTCTACTTGGAAGAACACATACCTTCGGAATGTCAATTTTATTTAGCACCACAATGTATGGTCGTTCAAGGTAATTAGGATTGTACATCCGCAATTCCTGCAGGATCATTGTACATAAACCACAGTATACATTAAAAGATGAAGGAAATAATGAAATTTACTTAAAAATTGAAATGAATTGAGACCAATTGAGTCCCAACTCTCTCTCAAGTTATCGAGTAATTTTGTTAGCGGAAATTAGCAGAAAAGAACACAAGTATGCAGATAGAAAGATGCAAACCTAAAAGGCATACCGCGCGCACACACACAGAGAATGAAAATAAGCTGAAAGGCAGAAAAGAAAAGAAAAAAAGGAGTAACACAGGAAACAAAGAATTTGAAATTAGAATTCAGCCAGCAGACTTGCATTCATCAGCGTCTATATATGCTAATGAATTATCAACATGATCCATCATTCAGTAACAAAGTTCAAAACTGAAGTAAGTAGGCATACTTCTTTCACTGTTCTGTAATCACTGACAGGATCCTCAGCACCTGCATCAACAACATGGACCATCAGCCGAGTCCTCCTCAAATGCCTTAAAAAATTGCGACCGAGACCCTGTAACGTGACACGATCATGCATGAATTTAGAGTTCAGAATGAAAACAATACCTAAAAACAACAAGACCACTGAAGAAGAAGCTTGCTTAAAAGTAATTGATGTAAGATTTTTTGAATAAATCATAATCTGTAATACCTTCCCCAGATGAGCTCCTTCGATGAGACCAGGCAAATCTGCTAAAGTTGCCTCAGATAAAAATTTTCCCGCCCCTAAGCTAGGGTCACCATCAAGGCGTCCCAAGTTTGGCATCAAGGTTGTGAATGGATAATCAGCTATATCAGGCTTCGCAAGTGTAATGGCTGCCAATAGGGTAGATTTTCCGGCATTTGGGAGTCCCTGAAAATTAATGGATAATGGTTAGGTTCTAAACATTGACGGACTGGTATGCAGGATTAAGTCATGACTTCATATCAGAAAATTTCAACAGTTTCACCACTATAATAAATGAAACAGCAGGGAACCCTATCATAAATATGACACTCAATATGGCTTGCAATCTACAGACCCAGTCAAACAGTCACAACAAATAACGGATGGACAAGGGAAAGTGGGTAAGGTCATGTAACTTGGTTGTTTGGGTCATTAGGAACATAATATCAAAATGTAATAATCATTTGGAAACTATTTCAACATCGAACAATGCTTACACACCTAGGGTACTTAAAACACTAGAGTATTTGTGAATGCTTGAAGATGCAAATGAAAACAATCACACAAAGCAAATATTAAAGTATGAATAAATGCCAAAACACTTACAAATGCATTTCCCCAATAAGTAAAATTGTGGATTTCCCAACAGAAAAAATAGAAGGTAAGCACATCCAGTTTAATTAGGATAAGTAATCTAGTTTTTCCAACCCATGAACTATCTAGAAAAAGATCTTGTTAAAGAGAAGGCAAAAAAAACTGGCTGAAAATTAGATGGGACAAAATTTAGCAACAGCTAACTGCAAATGAAGAATTTCACTTCCTGTTTATCTCAACAAAATATCAACATGTGCATGTCTATGCACTTGTGTCTATATAAGCATGCATGGTATGTACAAATACACTTAAAACAGAACGTGCATACACCAAAATTTCCATGCAGTGCTCATATGAAGTGGATACAATTATATGCATACAACCATGCGATGAAACAGAAAAGAGTATATACTCAATACTTACAATGAGACCAACATCTGCAACAACTCTAAGTATCAACTGCAAACTAACCTCTTCACCAGACTGACCAAGAACCAAAACCTGAAACGTATAGAGAATTATTAAGTGTCATCCTGTGAAAAGACATCTCATTGCATGCCTAAGGTATATACCAGGTTTTTATTCAATTTCAAGCGTTGTTATCAAGTATCATTGTTCTTTAGGAGGTGACAGATTCTAACACAGAGTAAACACATGTCAAAGTCGTCAGGTTAGACTTCTTTTCCATTCTATGAAGATACAACATAATGGATAGAATACCATAAATGCCATGGTGTTTTTCTTACAAGGATGCAGTGGCACATAATGGAGCAGTCCTTTTCCATAGTCAGAAATCTTCACGTGGTCATCCACAATCAATAACATTAAAGATAAACTAAGTCTAATACGGGTATGTTAACAATGTCATCTTCTAAAAAAATACAATCTGTTTCTTCCTCACAATTTTTCCTTTTTCTCAGTCTTAAAACTTTTGTCAGTCTTTAGTGGAATTTTATGGTTGTTATGTGGGCCTATATACCACTTACTCTCCACTTTTAACAGTCAATTTCTCGTTTGTTGATGCATCGATGTTGTACCATCACCTACCATTACTATTCACCTTTTACAACCCTTCTCTCATTTGACTGGATAACCTAAAAAATTGCTTAGTTGCAATATCGCTCACAAGAATTGAATCTTAATTGAACTTCATGGCTAAGGTGCCTTCAGCTGATATGTTATTCTAGTGCCTGTGTTTGGCTTTGAACTACTCATACACAACCAAAATAACTTTACATATGATTACAATTTACAATGAAGAGGACTGATTTTGAATTGTTTCTTAGGTCACTTATTTCTTAGTAAATAGCTAAAATACATTGTTGCTAAATTTGAGATTTTGGATCTCTCTCAAGCTTTACTTCCACAATCCCTTCCATCCAAATATTCATGATCTGGATGTGAATTAATCGAATTACTTATCCCTCCGTCTATTTTTTCCCATCCAATTTATGTACTTTATTACTAACAGGATGATATTTTTAACAGCCAAATGTCATTTTAAATATTTCAATACTTGCTATTGTATTTAGTTACGTTGGCATTGAAATATCTAAAGGCAGGCTAATCTTAGTTGACAAAGGTAAATAAAAAGAGGAACTCCAGCAAACACATTGTGCTACTCTATTCTTTTTTACACAAAGCGCTTTCCATCATGTTTGGACATGGGCATGCTGCTAACTATAACCTAAGAAACAAAACACGGACACTTACAGGCGACATGACATGCACCCATCGACATTTTTTTTTAGAAAAATGGGACAAAGACATCAAAATAATTTATTTACATTTTTATATTGCATCTTTGTTTTTATACTTACTATTTTTTAATATCATTAAAAAAAATTATTTTTGATTTTTTTAGTGGAATCTCTTAAATCGAATGGGTAGCTATTACAGATAACTTATATCCAAAACTCATGCATAGGCGTAGACATTTGCATATGACTAAAACAGAGGTTCTGGAGAATGGGGATGGTATTAAAATTGCATCATGATTATGATAATAACTATTGTTTCGCAGATGCGGTAATCGAACAAGATTTCTCAACATTCATATCAGAATACAGCAATATAAAATTGCAGCTTGATGCATTGATAATTTGAAAGAAATGAAAAACCAACAGTTAAAATCAACATCTGCAGAACGAGAAATGTATTTTGCTGGTTGAAATATGTTATAACTAAGTCAGTCAAGGATAAACACGCTATCGAAATTCAAATATCTCTCTGTGATAATCATGACAAAGGGCAGTAAATGAACAGAGAAGTGAACATAATTATTGACATATAGTATGGAGATTCATTAGGTCGTCCATAATTATTGACATATAGTATGGAGATTCCTTAGGTTGTACTTTGCCATAGATGCAAACAAAAAAATAGGAATTATATGCAATATCTCTACCCAGCGTAAATTCTCCAAATTAGAACTCAGAGAAGACAGATACAGGAAAATATGTCTAACAGAAGATTGTGAACAATGTAGGGCCTTACCTTATCACTGTCATCTCTCATTACATTAGTGGTTAAAGCTGTCGTTCTCTTTCTTTTATGCTCAGGGACTTCTAACAAGCTAATCTGCCAAAAGCAAAAAAGGAACAGACTCATTGACGATGCATGCAGTTTCAAAACATGCTTAATATGTCTTTGCTACAGTCACTGACATATATAATATAGAGAAGAATGCCTCCAAGTAAAAACAAAACAATTAATTCAATCCGTAAATTTCATTTGAATGCTATCTTAATTATCATTTTTCAATGTTTAAGGAACGGTTTTTTTTTTTTTCCTCTTTCCCATGCCTTTTCTGTTGTCGGGGATGGCATTTTGGGACCAACCTTAAAGCTTAGTCATGATATAAGCATCTAGCTAAAATTTAAGAATGCAGATTCTCACCCCTCCTTGTCCACCTCTGGCTACAAGAACTTCATCACCTGGACGAGCTAAATCAGCCAGAAGCTTTCCTCTTTTATGTTTTACAACAGTACCTGTCATATGTGGCAAAAATATAGTATGGGTTTAACAGAGTGGGCTTAGTTTTATTACCTATATTCATCTATTGGCAAAAGAAGGGCTAAATCATAATAAGTAATAACCAACATGCATTGATCAACTTTTTCAACTGTGATTAATTGCAAAAGAGAATAAAGATAAATGAATTCAACAATGTACTCCACAAACCTGGAGGTACTGGAATACGCAAAGAAGGAGCGGCAAGTCCATCGCGCAGTTGTGATGTCAGAACACCCATTGCATTAGCATTTCCTCCACGTTTCGCATTGTATCGACTTTTCTTGTGGAACTCCAATAACGAATCTTCGCTCTCATCTGCATATATCACAACGTCACCACCATGTCCACCCATAGGAAGAACGAGTGAGCCATCAAAATCCCTTTTATATGAACTCTTTTCCTTTATCTTGTGTTTTCCAAATTTTCCTCGTGAGTTAGAAGGAGCTCTCTGAGTAGGCATACTAAGGACGGCACCATGACCGCCATCTCCAGCACGGACAGTGATCACCACCTGATCAAAATATTTATGGGGTTCCTTTTCTAATGTCTCAGGGGTTGGAGACGGAGGACTTTTCACCTTAGAAAGTGCACTCTTCAGCGAGTAGCATCGAAAATTTCTACTAGTGTTCCTTTTCCTATGAAAACTGTAAGAAGAGATGCAATATAAGCAATAACTATGAAATTCAAGTTGCAAACACATATAGAGAATGTGGACAATGNAAGTTGCAAACACATATAGAGAATGTGGACAATGCCATGAAGTGATGCAACGTTAGACATCAAAAGTTAAGGTTGGCATCAAATAAATTGTTCTTCACAGTATGAAGTCAAAGTACACAACACGTGCAAAACGAGAACCAAAAAAAGAATAATCTAGTGATATTTTCAAGAAAAACTCACTGTCTGAGTTAGTACTATAATTAACGAAAGAAAACAAAGAAACTAACATCACAGTGCAATCTTTATTATTCCTTGTTCTTGGAGAAGTTCTAACGAGATTGTAAAAAACAAATAACAAAAATTATATTGTTGTTACGGGAAAGTGAGAATTAATCAGAAATTGAAATGAAGAAACAAATTGTCTGAAATTTCAATTGCGTTGTGATCATGTGTAAAATAAGGCTCAAATGAGATGAAAATACCGGCATATATAAGCGAATTGAGGTTGTTAAAAAAAAAAAAAACCAAATTATAACTAGAAAAATCTTTAACCCAATGAAAAACGAACAATTTCATATTTCAGTAAGCAACTATTTACATTTTCAAATATTTTGCTAGTAACAATGGAGAGAAAATAAAATAATAAATTTAAACGGGAACTAGAAATCGAGGAATTATTGGGTTTTATATATTATCGAACATATATACCTTTGTGGAAGAGTAGGTTGCGAAGTGAAAGCAGAGAGAGCAGCCCACGACTCTTTCTCAAAATTGGCGTTGATAAATGATAACGAACAATGTGGAGGAGCCAAAAATAGCATTTTCCTTCTCTTGCGGTGCTTAGGTATGTGTATCGGAGGCGGTGGCGGTGCTACTCAGTAGTGTCACTCCGGTGAACTTTATTTGGGTGGAGCAATTTCGAACGTCAGAACGTGACAGTTACTATCCGATAACCTGCACAAACCAGCTAACTCAAAATGGTGTGTTTGGCTAAGCTTTAAATGTTTATTAATGAAGGATAGAAAATTAAGCACCCATTTGATGTCCATTACTTTGCAAAAATACAGATGACAATGGGACGAGAACGAGATGGGTCCACTAGTTTCACTCTCAATATTTTTGTCACCTTGCCTCGTTTACATATCCGATTAAAGCAGGACGGTGAGGGTTCGGGACGGGATTGAGGTGGGATGGGACAAATTCCCTATCCCATTTATCCTCTCGTTTATTTTTTTCCTTTTGTTTTTTATTTATTTTATTTTATTTTTTATGTCTTTAATTAGTAAATATTTTTTTTTTTTCAATTTGTTAAGACAACTTCTTTTTCTTTAAAAATGATGATAAATCTTTTATTTTTGTTTGATAAAAAACATAAAATTAAAATTAACTTTAAATGAGGAGAGTAGTGGGACGGAGACTATGTTTCTCGTACCCGTTTTGGGGCAATAACCCTCGCTCCATCCCCAACCCATTTACCCGATTAGGCGGGGAATCATTGCCCCATTTGGGGTGGGGTTTTGCGGGTATCGAGTTGCACGGATTTTTTTTGTCATCCTTACATGAAAATAATGTTTTGAATAATAATTTTTCAAAGCTTATATGTTTAAAAAGTGAGGAAATTTTTTGAATTAACGTACATAATATTTTATTATGTGAATGTGTGGTTTAAAATAAATATGAGAAATAAATTATTTTATTTTAAAGGAAGTCAAACAGGGCAAGTTACCAATTTAAGGGCACGTTTGATATGACTTTTACTTCATGTATAAGTTACTTTAGTTTTTGTTTGAAAAATAATTTTTAAAAGAGTTTTTTTATTTATTTATTTCAGAAGTGATTTTAGAGGAAACCATATGGTACCAACTTCCTTTAAAAATTCTTTTAACTAAAAAAATACATTCATAAAATTAGTCAATAATCCAAAACAATTTTTGGGTATCGAAATCTCCTTTTGACTAGTTATGCTAAATGGGCCTTATTGAAAATAAATATTTTATATAAAAAGATTTTTTTATATAAAAGAAAGAAAAAACAAATTATTCAAAAGAAAATTTTACTTAAAAGTAACTTTACTTCTATTTTTAAATTAGCCAAACATTAAGATTCAAAATAATTTAATGACTCCATACTTATTTGGGATTTATTTTTAATTTTTGCAACCTCAAACATTTACTCGAGAATTATTATTTTTATTTGTTTCTAATCGATTATTGGATCCAGATTTTTTTTTTTCAGTAGTTGATGATTAATTTTCTCGATGTTTGATAGATAAGAATTTGGTCACAAATTAATGCGCAAATTATGTCACTCGAAAATTTGATGAAACATATTGTTGTTCATGGTAAAAAAAAAAAAAAGAAAAAGAAATCATTCACTAATTTGTTGGAATTCTTTCCGTATAGATTCGAATTTTTCCTCTCTCACTCATTTATTATAGACCTTTGAGAAGTAATAGAAATCAAGAAAATGAAAAGATGTTCATACACATAAGAAGGCCATGTCATGAAGTGAAATTGAATTGAGCTTGAGTATATTTACAGCATGTTTGAGCCTCATTTTTTTTCCTTTAAGAATGTATTTTGGAATAGTAGATTGACGAAAAATATGTAATTAAAAATAAGAAAAAAAGTTGAATTTGCATTTAATATTATTTGATTGAAAAATGAGTGATTGAAAAGAAGAAAAGGAAAAACATATTTTGAAAATAATGAGAATCAAACAAGAGCTTATGAGAATCTTTTAAGCATATAACATGTTTGTCTAAGGTCAGGGACGGATAAGGGGGGCTGCCTCCCTCAACTAATTTTTTTTTAGTTAGAAAAAAAAATTATGTAAAAAAAAAATCATGTGTAATTTTATTTTTTTTACTTATTAGTCCGGCCTGTAATTCGGTCATGGATCCGTCCCTGACTAAAGTTAAAATTACTTTAAGTACTTTTACTTTTTTAAAATTAACCAAACATTTTCTTAATATTAACACTCCTTAAAACTTATAGGGTGCGTATGATATGTTGAATTAGACTGCATATGGATATATTTTATTCAATTCAACTTTTATTACCAAATGCTACATTTCTGAAGATCCCTTTCAATTTAAGGTGTTGTTCAAAATAATCGAAATTGATCAGATCGGTCACATTTTTAACATATACCGATAGTTATATTCATTTGTCAAAATAATTAAAATTGATCAGTGTTTTGCTTTGTTGTAGAGAAATGTGAGAAGACTAATTATGATTTGTTCAATTAAAAGAATCAATCTCATTGAGAGCATGATTATCCCTAGTTGAATGAGTGTGATTATTTCATGATTATGTTAGATATGCATTAAAGTTGGAGAACCTTCTATGCAATATTTGAGGACATGAAAAGAACCAAAACTGTGATTGGTGGCCAAAATGTATATAATGAAGTTCAGTAACTGTTGCGATCACACATGATACTTGGGGATGCGATCACCTAATAGATTAAAGTTGGAGCACCTTCTATGCAATATTTGAGAACATGAAAAGAACTAAAACTTTGATTGGGGGCCAAAATGGATAAAATGAAGTTCAGTAACTGTTGTGATCACACACGATACTTCGGGATGCCATCACCTAATAGATTATATGCAATGTAAATACAAAAAGTATAATAAACAAAAATGTAAGAAATTAGGTTATCTCCTAATAATCGCTTAGGCCCTATTTGGTACACATTATTTTTTTCATTCTCATTCTTCTACTTATTTTCAACCACACATTCTTCAATAAAATAATATTTTTCATCACATCAATAACTTTTCCTTCATTTTTAACCACACATTCTCCATCAATCTACTATTCAATAATACATTCTTTCAAAAGAATGTGTCCCAAACACACCCTTAATCTAAAGTTTTTAGCTAAATTTTAGCGTAAGTGTTTAATTTCACTTTGAATATGGCTTTGGAGGTCTTGTTTAGGTCGCTCAATTTGAATTTGTTCTATATTTTTCACGTCCTTCAAAATCGTACTTTGTCATTTTGAATACGGTATGACTTGCCTAAATTGCTTAATTCGAACTCAACTAAGAATATTTCAATTTTCTCATCGACTTTAATCACAAGTCGGTCTAATCTTCCTATAAACAATATATTTGATATTTAGTCCCTCCGGAAAGCCATCTTTATCAAATACAATAGGTTGATTGTATCCTCACTTTTTAACTTCTTGTCTGAAGAAGAATTCTTCAAAGAGCATGTCACCTTCATTTAAGTTGGGATTTATTATTGTGAGTTTTTTACCTGTTAGGGCCTGTTTGATACGTTGCTTTTTCCATGGAAAATGGAAACTTTTTTCCAATTCCAACTTTTTGTCCCATTTGATAAGCTTTTTTTTCACCTGGAATTACTTTTCTTGGTTTTGCCCACGTGATTGGTTTTTCCTTGATTTTAAGGAATCTCAATTCTTTTGGTTTTTGTGGTGAACAGTTTTTTATTTTTTCTTTGGCAATGGAAATAAATTTTATCCCCAATTATAAAAAAAATTATCTCTTTAATTGATAATTTTCATGAAAAATAAAGTCAAACGAACAAAAAAAAATTAATTTTTATTATTTTTATTTTTTTGGCAATCTAAACAAATTCTATTCCAAATTGTAAGAAATTTTATCCCTTTAATCGACAATTTTCATAAAAATAAAGTCAAACGGACAAGGTGAAAAATTATACCAATCAAACACAATTAATTATAATTTCCAGTAAAACAAATTTTAGACAATTTAATTTCATGCAATTCATTTTCTTTCCACCCAAATTCCACATTTACAATCAAACAGACTCTTACTTCTTTTCATCCCCAGCCAATGGAGTAAAGAAAAACAAATAGATCAATTGAAAAAAGAAAGCAAGAAATAATTATAATCAATATTAAATAAAAATGGTACCCGGCAACGGGGCCGAAAACATGTCAAATTTCATATCCTGCAAGTGTACAGATCGTAATAAGTAATATAGTGTACCAATGAGTTCGAAAATCATTCCCACGAGAACAACCAATTCGTTAAATTATTTATGACTTTAAGTTGATCGAAAATAAACAATAATGTTTGTGATTGGTGTCTAAATTATTCTAACTACACTAAATTGTATATCTTAGACAATTTATCGAATTTGAGTTTTAAAAGTATGAATGTGGAATGCTATGACTTATAATTTTACCTATGGATCCATTTTAATTCGTCAATCAAAATTCACTACTATTGCAGCGTTCGGTCGAATTCTTCTAAAATATTCAATTTACCCCTCTCGAGTTCTCATTGATTCTATTTAACTAATTCAATTTCATATCTCTATATGAATCAATCTTAGTTAAACGCAATTATGTTTTAAGAATCATGTAACGAACACATTAACTAGCATAAGTATCTCTATGTTTTAATGTTAAATTACTGAATTTTACTATGTGGTCTAACTCTAAAACTCACCACTCGATTCGTAATAGATTTCACAAAATTATTGAAGAATTGACCAAAGAATTCAAAACACGAAATTCATGAGTAAAATCAATACATATGCATTTTAAAAACTAGAATATTGAATAAAAGAAATAAATAGCCACACATGGATTACATTGGTCGCCTAACTATGAATTTTGCTACTCATAATAATAAAAGAAAAACAATAAGTATAGTGTTCATAACTGAATTTTGAAATCTTGATCATGTAAATAATTTGATCTTACATCAAGAATTTTCTTCAATCTCAAGAATCTTTAAACCCTACTTTTTACTCTTTGATCCTGATGATTATGCGTTTTTCTCCCCCATCCAAATTGTGTTATCTAGCGTTGTATTTTTT